AGTTTGATCTTCTAAAAGGATTCTGGCAAGTTCCACTTACTGATAGAGCTAAAGAAATATCAGCCTTTGTAACACCAGACGGCTTATATCAATATAAAGTCATGCCCTTTGGTATGAAAAACTCACCAGCAACTTTTCAGAGACTTATAAACATGGTAATATCTGGGCTACACGGATGTGACGCATACATTGATGACGCAATCATCTACTCTGATGAATGGGAGGAGCATCTCAAAACTATACGAGCATTCTTCGACCGACTTAGTGATGCTAAATTGACAGTTAATCTTGCAAAAAGTGAATTTTGTCATGTAATTTTAACATTTTTAGGACATGTAGTGGGACAGGGTAAAGTTAAACCAATAGAAGCTAAGGTCAAAGCTATCTTTGAATTTCCTGTGCCTACTTGTAAAAGACAACTGATGCGATTTCTTGGTATGGCAGGGTATTATCGTAAATTTTGTAATAATTTTTCGGTTATTGCAGAACCATTGACAAATTTGCTAAAGAAAAGAAACAAATTCATTTGGAAAAAACAAGTGTCAAATGGCATTTGACAGCCTGAAAGCCATACTTAAGAGTGCACCAGTTCTCTTGGCACCAGATTTTAATAAAAACTTTAAGTTAGCTGTAGATGCTAGTGACATAGGTGCTGGAAGTGTATTGATCCAAGAAGACAACAATGGTGTTGACCATCCTGTTTGTTACTTTTCTAAAAAGTTTAATGAACATCAGAAAAAATACTCTACTATAGAGAAAGAGTGCCTTGCTCTTATTCTTGCTATTCAGCATTTTGAAGTTTATCTAACTTCTTCAAAGTTGCCTGTTGTTGTCTTTAGTGTACACAATCCCCTCACTTTCTTGCATAAACTTAAAAACAAAAATCAAAGGTTGTTGAGGTGGAGCTTATTTTTGCAAGAATATAGTCTTGACATTAGACACATTAAAGGGAAAGATAATTTGATCCCTGATACACTTTCACGTGTCTAAAACTGTTATTTGCAGTATTTTAAATTTAACATTTATATGATATGATTGATTATTTTTTTGTTGTTGTTTGCTATTGTTTGTAATACACATATATATGAAGGTATAAAATTGTTTAACATTTATCCTATGTTATTTGTAAGTTACATTGTTTGAATTTATGTAAAAGAAATATTCATTTCATTCATATTTCTTTTTCTTGAAGAGGGGAAGTGTTATGTATGCAACATATTACATGTATATAATTTATATCTGACCAGTTGGTATTTCCAATATTATCATTGTTCTATTTTTAGAACATTAACTACATGTATGTACTAGAACTTTCTTAACTGTTGTAGAAAACTCATGCATTATATTTAGATAGAAACTTCTGGAATGTTCTTTATTGTGCAAGTTGCTAGATTATGATTACTTTAGAACATAATAGACCTTTCTGGAATTTTCTTAGTTAATATATATAAAGTGACATTTTTCATTACCTTTACCTTTTAAGTCATCAGTGATCTTTTAAGTCTTCAGTTACGTTTTAAGTCATCAATATATTTGGAGTATTATTCAACTTGGATATTAAGTGATTTATTGGAGCTTGGATTATTTCAAAATAGATTAAATTATTCTTGTGGATTTCATTGTGGGAATTTATTCTAAAGTGTTCTTGGATTTAACTTGGATTTAACTGTGTTATTCAAAAAGGATCATTCCAGGATCAGACTAGACATTTAAGATTTTCACTTTTATTTGGACATCAGGTATTTGTAAACGTTACTTGTTATTTTATTTTTCTTTAATATTTTTATTCTGTAATAAATTTGTTATTGTTACAAGTTTGTTGCTGGCTTTTCTTTCTCGTTACGCCTGGCTCGTAACAATACGTGTACAATGATTAAAAGTTTTTATTTGTTTACTTTTAAAGCAGGCTTGCGTGGTTACTTTTTTTTTTTTTTTATTGAAGTATTATTTCTTTGATGTTAAACTTTACTTAAGCTTCCGCTTATTTATGATTACTAACTGGAAGTGGAGCAGCTAGCTCGGATTTTCTGAGGGGGGGGGGTCATATAATACAATCATATCTAATATCAATATAATTATAGAAGTTTCACGCGCGCGTAAAAATCAATGGCTGCGAAGGAATGGTCAGCTGTGCACTGCATACCTTTAGAATAGCCGAATAAAATGCTTCCGTTTAGATCTGCGCAGTTGTTGAAATTAAAGCGCAAGCGTTACGACACGAAAATTCCATTACGTACGTATAAATAGTTCTCGTTTTATAAAGTGACAGGACGGGTACGTCGTAATGTGCCAGGAATCAAACACCATGTGTGTTATATATTTAGACAGTGTTGCTCGAAATGGTTCATCATAATGCTTTAAATAGCATTTATAGATTTATCCCGATTAAACGATAAATAAACTTTAAATAAGCAAATGACGATAAAGTATCAAAGTTGAGCATATATATATATATATATATATAAGACATTGAAGATATCAGACCCGTTACCAAATCTTACCAAAATAAAACAACACATGTGTGACCTCACATTACTTTATAAAAAGCGGGTATTTAAGTTTTTGTAACCAGAAGTAATGTCCTCACAGCGCATCCAAATCGTCTCAGTAGAAAAATACAAAAGTTTATAAGATAAATTCCTTCAAAACGAACTTGTTTCCTAGTATCTGAAAGTCAGCGAAAGGATGGATTGAAAAAATCAATTGTTTTATTACAAAGCAATGCAACAGCTCTTAAACCGATGCGTTTTGTCCAAACCCGAAACAGTTCCCATTTAGGTGGAGTCCCATTTTGGGAGAGACAACGTGTTTACGCATGATTTAATTTAGCCTGGTTCCACCTTAAATCTCGGTAAACTACAGACAGTTGCACAATCCATTATTTGTATACGGAAATAAGAAAACATTGTCTTTCCTTTAGAAGAAAATGTAAAGAAATCAAAATTGGTCATGAAGTGTAAAGCTGATGTATGTGAATGTTTGATGTATTTGCACATTCATTGACGATTCGCAAAATAAATCGTGTCATTCCGCAGTAAATCATGCGTCTTATTCAAAATGATTTTTAGATTCGGCTGCATCGCAGCCGAATTAACAAGTAAAAAGTGACGGTGATGGTCTTTTTCCATATTCCAATTTTCAAACCATTACCTTACAGGTTCAATGAAAAAGTGAGCGCTCGAACAATAGGCATCTCTAAGAAAGCGAAATCCATTGCGTTATGCTTTAATGCAGTAATAGATATAACGATCATCATAGGTTAATGGTCAAGGATTCAAGGCAATAATTTTGTAATAGCAATATCTCATCTAAGGATAAGTGGTAAGGAGCAACATCATAACAGAAACAAAGTCCAAATAGAAAAAAGGACATATGTTTGGCAAAAGCCATGACAAAAAAAATGTACTGGGTGATATAGGTTTCATCAAATATTCCGTGTTTCAAACAGTATCGCAAGGGGTTCAGTAAAGGAGTGAAAGGATACAAAAATAACATGAGTGCGACGCAGTTTAAAGTTAAGACTAGCGTCTGGGTGGATTAGATTGCTCTCCCTATAAATAGTCAGGTTAAATCGTAAAATTAAACGCCCGGTTAGCTCAATTAGTATTGCGTTGGTCTGTGAATCGCACGATCCGGGTTTGATTCCCGGACGGTTTAGGTTACTTTTGTTGTGATTGATCATGAAATCCTTTCTACGGTCATACTGCTATAGAATGTATATGTGAAAGTGAAGGCAACTAGTACTGGTAAACTGACTGCTTGACATCCTGCCCAGGAACGATGTGGCGCCTGAACTAAGGTCTTGTAAATCTAGTGTGGCTTATTGCAGTAGTGAAAACTACCAACACCGCCTCCAAAATTAATCATCAGAAATTATTACATTTTATAACATAACTTTCCCTTGCTGTGTGTATGTGACACAATATTATTTTGATTAAAATTGGCCCCCCTTATGTAAATAGTCTTTTTATTATGATTAAAGTGCATACAGTTAAGGCATAATTGCTTTATTTTGTGCCTGAAAGAGAGGATGGACTCTCAGCTTAGAAAAAAACAAATATAACTATATTTTCTATTGGTTAGGGTGGGCGGAATGTAGGTTCATCCCCACTTGTATAACTACAATATCTTGGGATGATTCTGCAAAAAAGTCGTCTTGGCTTAATGGGCTTTTATAGCTGAAATATTCCTCGATCTCGGGATGTTTCTGAAAAAAGTTGTCTCGGCTTAATAGCCTTTTTCTAGCAGAACTATTTCTTGATATCGCCCCAGTCATTGTTAAATTCTGGTAACTTACTCGTTTCGTAGACTTTAACTATAACGTATGGTACAACTCTAGAGGATTTCTGAATTGTTATTACAATAGAAAATGATGAGAGAGACATATCTGTGTTAGATACACGAAAAATACTTAATGATTTTATAGGAACCTTTATGTATAAATTATTAAATTAAACAAAATGTATGAATTGCTTGCAGTGTTTTACTACGGATGATGCTTGGATCATTGTTTGGATGTTAAATTATTTAGATGATGCTGCAAAAGACTGCCTTTCGTAATAAAGTCAAAATCCTGTTTAAAATGTATTTGAACATTAAATGGTCTTAAGCTTATATTTTCAGTTAGAAAAACAATTTGGTGTTGTTTCAAGCTAAGTATTTCAGCCTTCTGCTGCTTTCTGTAAGCCTTATTCAAAACAACGTCCCGAAAAAGAAAAAAAAAATAAATAAAAAAGAAAAAAACATTAATCGGGAAACGAATCCCCGCTCCTTACTGTTTATGTATTTCATCGCCGACAAACCTTAATTATGTGGATTTGACAATCATATGAAATTTTCAATCATATAAAAATAACGTATTTAATCTTTTGAAAAGATGAAGGCCACTTTAATGGGTTTGCGGAAGATGTGGGATTTATTTGCAATTCGGTTAAGCATTGTATATACTTTACTTAAAATTGATATAGTGAGGAAGAAGAATCTTTTTAAGATGTGATCATCATCGTTGTAAAATGCTGACATATATTTAACAGGTTTTTCATTTCTGTCAGCATGAACAAATGCTTAGATAATATTTGAAACTTTAGTAATTGAACATTTTACACATTAAATAATATATTTACACATATTGAAGATATATATGTAAAAAAGATGCTTGATAACTGGAACAGTAGGCATTAATAAACTTTAATAAACGTGTAATTTTACAAAATTAAGAGCATCATTCTTACAACGAAGTGTAATATCCGCTCTTACATTTTCATTAGTTTAGATTTAGTTTTTGTCTGTAAATATGTCCATATTGTCCTAGGCTCTTCCAAAATATACCATGAACATTTTATAGAAACATCTGATATCTGTTTATGAAAAGCGTGACAAGGATCATTCCTGTGAACTTGGACAGGGTTTCTGTGGTGAGTTGATGTAATCCGTTTCCCCCATTTCCTCCACCATTACCACCACCTGTAAATAGAAAGAAAATAATTCGGCTAGTTTGAAGGAAGGGGAGACAATTAAGAGCTGTTGTAGCCCTCGATTGAGTGAAGTTTCGTTTTTGTTTGTTTGTTTTGGGGTTTACGTCACATCGACACAGTATAGGTCATATCGCGACGTGGAGGAAGACCTCAGAGGCCCTTCCGTGCATTATTTCAGGCGCAAACGAGCACATGAGTAGAACCACCGACGTTCTGTGAGCTAGCTTGATAGCTTCCTCACATGAAAGAATCCAAAGTCCCTGTCGGGATTCGAACCCACGGCGGTGAGGGGCAAGTGGTTTGAAGTCAACGACCTCGGCCACGGACGCCCCTCAGAAGTATAGTAATAAAAAAAGAAATTTGTAAACTTTTACATAATAAACATGATTTGGATGAATTTTGCATAATAAAACCTATTATTTATAGCTTGTAATACGTCTTTTTTAATTTTAACCGAGTAAGATTTATTGTCAGTAATTAGTGTTTTATTGCATATGAGACTCATTATAAGTGAAGTTGTACTTCATTTCTTAAGCTACTTTAAGAAAAAAGGAACAGATGAAATGACATTAATTTCCATTATTTCTTTTAAATATGGTAGAATAAGTCAGAAAGAAAATCTGTTTGCTGCTTAGACCGGAGGAATATCCGCCCCTCGGCCCATGGTTGACAGATCGGTAAGCCACGCTTATAAGTGTCCATGGCCTGGCACCCTCGAAAAGGATATTTTAATCAGAAGTGCAGAAGATTACAGACGTAATCATTTTTGAAAATCAGAATTGTGTTCTCTTATTTAATGCTAGAATTTTCAGATATATGTTTCGGTTCAAAACGAAATATCCGTCCCTTTGCAAACCTCGTATTTGAAACTCCTTTATGTGATCTAGTGTGTAAATTTACCGGAAGAAATATGTCGTTTCCGGAAATCCTTTACCCTTTTTGTAAAACAACTCATAAGGCCGAAAAATGAAGAAGCTGGTCTTTTTCGTTTTTGCATCGATCAAGTTTGTGCACCAGTTATAAAGTAACTCTTGGTGACGTTTCAGTTATCTATGTGAATTTTACATTAAACTAAGCCGTGGATCAAGACGAAAACAAAACGACCGAAAAAAATATGTATTTTGAGCACTTTTTATGTTTACAATTACCAAGGAATGATGTACAGCATGCACAAATGTGCAATATATAAGAAATTATTTGATTATATGTTCTCAATCACGAACTTATGAAAAGTACATTTCTTGATTACACAACATGTTGTACATTTGATATCTAATTTATTAACGGAATTTCATTTGTCCGCTCGATATGATCTCACATTGACTTCTCTAAAGTTCACTGGAAAAAAACAGTTGCCCCAGGACAGGAATCCCCGAACATGCACGTTATAGTATTATAAACATTTAAATTACGTAGCAATGCTGAGCTTGCATGGTGTACCTGGTTGCGAATGACCATTGTTTGGTCCACCGGCAGGGTTTTGGGTTGCCGGTGCCGGTGCTGCAGTTAGTGCTGGACCTGGTGCTGCAGTTAGTGCTGGACCTGGTGCTGCAGTTGGTGCTGCAGTTGGTGCTGGACCTGGTGCTGCAGTTGGTGCTGGAGTTGCAGTGTCTGTCTCTAAAACTGAAGAATGTGTTAGCAAAATACCATGCTTATCTTTTTTACATAAACTGTACACTGTTTTCATATTACTCCCAGGAATATAAATGAAGTAAATATACTGCAGATCGCTTGGAAAATCGTGACGAGACTGCTATCAATTCGTTAATTAATTTCGTTTTTATCAAGTAAAGGAGGTTTGACGTATTGTTAATTTCTTGTGAAGATTTTTGACAGAATTTATACTGTATATAAAAGTTTGTCTGCAATATAACCTTTCCCTACCGGCTCGGGTTATGTATGAAAGCAACCGTTTATGTAGGGTCATATAAGCTGTCAAAAATCTTTATCAAGAATTTAAGACATGATTTAAAGCCTTTCAGTCTATCTGGATTAGTTATCCTTTTCTGCGATGTAAATTTTAAACCTAGCAACCTACTCTTAAATACTGGACTGATGGTGTAGATGAAATGGATGTACATGTACTATTACAAGAAATTCGAACTGAATCGGGACCCAAATTTCTCTCTTCATTCCAAGTCAGTCTCGCATAACACGGGGGGAGAATCACGCCGTTTGTTACCCAAACAAATATGTTGGCGGATACAGCCAAAAAGTAGGGTTTTCCCTTTTTCTCTCTGAAATTCGTGATGTTCTAATGTAAAGGTACATATATTAACCTTCTCCACCATTTTCCTGGCACACCAGATTTTATTTCATGATGTTTCGTCCCGTATCTCATCTGAAATGCGCGTCACCAGATTCGAAGCGATGGAATTTTCCACCGGTTTGATCGTGATATCGTACGGCTTCTTCTCTAAAATTCACAGTTTCGTTTACATAAATGTATATTAACTGAAACCACTGACTTTAAAAAGTTTATATATGTCGTCATCTAAGCATTCATGCCTTTTCTGTCTAAAATAAACCCTGAAAATATTAATATCGGTTCATTTTCCGGAAATGATAACGTATGGCGCACAAAATATCGATGATAACGTACGGCGCATTTTTTTCTGATTAATTGATTTTCTATATTATAGAAAATTTATGCTGATCAGACATAAGAGGATGTGTAGAACAAAACAAAGAAACTGAAATAAATAATATTAGTGTCCAGCTTTATTTGTCATCCAATGAAAACGCTGTATTTCTTAAAAATTCTTTGTGTAAATTTTAATAGAAGAACAAAAGTCGATGATATATCAAAAGTCTGTTCATACCAGCCTTCTTTTTTTCATAGTGCTTCATAGAACCGCGTTCGTAAAAATGGACAGGTATAGTGACAAAAATAAAGTAAATGTTAATGAAGCCAACTAAAGCTTGAAATTAAATATGTTTGTATTCATCCGTAGCTGTTCTACAGAAATAAGAAATATTCTCCGGTCGCTATCGCTCCCGTCAAAGTTTCTAATTTCTGTAGAACAGCATGGATGAACACTAACATATACTTCGTAAATACCATTTTAAAGTAGCGTAATAATTTTTACAACCGTTCTTTCATAAAGATAATGACGTCATCTGAGCGCATGAGCTGTCTGGCATAAAATGTTTCAGACGGGTTTTCCGGCATGGATAAAAACATCGAAATCCAAATCCGATTTGAAACTTTATATTTCATGGTCGGTCACTAGATATTACTATGCAAATTCCAATGTCACTCTTTTATTGCTGATACCTGCAATACTTTTTAAAGAAATTATTGTTTTTGTTGGGGCGTTTGTGGAAAAAACGCCAGAATATGATAGGCAAATTCTTGCATTTAAAGGTTTTGATCAAATTATGACGTTCCTTTCATTTACAATTCTGAAACCCGCAATTGATGCGAAGGGACCTTCATTTTTTTAGGATATGTGTATAAATGGTAATAACGTTTATGTATTAAAATCAATTAATTTACAACAATTTTGAATAAATGGTTCATGTAATATATGTTTTGTAGGTATGTATGTATATGTGTGTATGTATGTGTATATGTATATACAAGAGACCTATAAGTTAGTGGTTTAAAGATCAATTTTGATGAAAATGTATATATGTTTATGTCATACACTGTTCGTTATTGTGCATGTTTAATGTCGTCATCGGCTTTTAAGCTTATTGGAATTAAATAAAATTACAACTGTCTACTATAATAAAAAAAACTGTAAGGCTAAGTCGCGCAAATATATCTGACGTCATAGTGGGACAACGTCACGCTAAATGGTAGCGTTTCAATGTTAACCACCCGTCCAATAAACAGGAAATTTTTAATTTACTAAATTTATTGAAGGTTTTCGCATAACATTATTTTCTAACTCATTTAATAAATTCAATATAGAACCTACACTCATTCATTGTTCTCTGTTATGTATTTTTCTTTTAATGAGCGACCAGATTGAATAAACACAGGCTCATCTCATCTGGGTGTAAGCTAGTCGCAATGTTTCAAATATCAAGATTTCCTTATCAGAAGTTTGTTAGGAATGACTTTAGACTTTTTCTTTGGAAAAGAAAATATATCAAGCCGTCCGTACCTTTTTAACATTTTTGCTCTGCTGAATGCGTTTCTTCTTTCTGATAAGGGGATAAGACCATAATTATCGCACAAAGCCTGCGAAATTTAATGTGAAGACAACAATACACAAATGTTTCCTGAAAGTGAAGGCTTGCCACCAGCTAGAAAGATATTTTTACCCGATGGTGCAGCATTGTTCATTTAATTATTTCTGACCACAGGTGCTTGAAACAAACTTTTCAAAGTTTTATATGGGCTATATACTATTATAAGATACATATATAGACCGATTTTGTAAAATATTTGATTATGTGACTAGCACCTGTGTTTCTGACCTGACAAACATTTTTTTTTTCAAATATCTATCATTTCAAACATACAAAAAATCATTATCAGCTGACTGGACAAACGGAAATCCACGAAGTGGAAAAATGCGCCGTGCCTTATCTTTGATATTTTGTGCGCAATACGTTATCATTTCCGGAAAATGCCCCGATATCAATATTTACAGCGGTAAATCTAACCAGAATGGGCATGGATGCTCAATTACTTGACAACATATTACAACTTTTTAAAGTCAGTGGTTTCAGATAATATGCATATATGTAAAAGAAACAGTGAATTTGAAAGAAGAAGTCGTACGTTATTACGATCAAACCGGTGGAAAATTCCATCGCTTCGAATCTGGTGACGCGCATTTCAGATCAGGTACGGGACGAAACATCATGAAATAAAATCGTGTGTGCCAGGAAAATTGTGGAGAAGGTTATTATATGTACTTTTACACAAGAACATCACGAATTTCAGAGAAAAAAAGGGAAAACCCTACTTTTTGGCTGTATCCGCCATCTTGTTTGTTTGGGTAACGAAGCGTGATTCTCCCCCTTGTTTACTGACATTTTGTGGCCAATAAGCCATTCACTTACTAGCTTCAGGTCATCATCAATCCCCTCAATAGAAGAAATGCTTTTTATCAGAATCAAGAATAGCAGTCATTAACATACAAGAGTAATTCATCATTTACTACAACTGGCATGTCATATGTGTGATATGTAAATAAAAACAACAAAGGAGCAAGGATGGAGCCCTGGTGGACACTACTGATAATAATTTGGCTTAGATATGTATCAGTAGTATCAGTAGTGGAGTTGCAACTCCTAAAGTTAAACCCAGACTGATATTTATACAGTATGTATTCCTAATTGGTGATAGACAATACGTTCAAGTATTAAAGATATAGACGGATATGAAAATTCCAACACAAAAGTTACAGTTTTTCTAAGACAGGCTGACAAGTCTGGCATGTACACTCCAGATCAGATAACATTGAATTTTTTTTAATTGTACAGTTACGTCGTTCATATTGCTCACAATATAGTTAAGAATGTATATTGGTACAATTTGCTTTGTATAGAAATGATTGATACAAAGATATAACATTTTCAAACATATGTACTTTAACTGAGGTGTTACAATTTCTAAACGCTATCTTAATCGTGAATAATTGATAATCCGAATTTTATTACCTAAAATGGATACGCAAATTCCAACCAATATACATCTCAATGGGGACTTCATCTGAATAAGAAGATATAAACTCGTTTACAATCATTGCTTTGCTAATGTCTTTTGGTTGCCTTTTCATCAATTAAATATAGCTTAATTAATTACCATATATAGTTAGTTTTACATTAATATTATAGATGATAATTATCATTTATATTTGTTTTTACCCAATTCAATCTATAACTAAAAGTTAACTGTAAAACGTGCTGTCTGTTAAATATAAATTGATATGTTATGATCATATGTGTTCATAGCAAAGAAATGAAATCAAGTTGTAATAAGATAATTAAAAATAATAAATATATTGCTGATAAAATTATCTATAAAAGTTGTTTAAGCACTTTAAAAAAATTCAAACTTTATTGACTATGTATAAAAAGAAATGAAGAAATAAAAGTTTTGGTGAATAGCAATTTGTTTGAAAAATGATTTTCTTTTTCGTATTTAATTAATAAAAATCTATTGCTCGGTGACTAGGAAACTAAGAATCAACAATTTGATATATTCTCTATGTTTGAAATAGTGATATAAGTGTGTATAGTTACGTGACATAACATACTCATTTTTTTTCATAGTAATTTTAACGTAACTTTATATATGTACATAAATATAATAAATAAATTGACTTTCGTTTATTTTAACATTGAATTTAGTATATGAAGAATATTAAAATTATTTATTTTAGTCAACATGGTCTTCTATATAGACAAAAATGGTGAGATTTGAAATTTAGTGTTTGACTTTTTCTTTTCTTTATAAGTTGTTAAGAAAGTAATTAAATGAGCGGAATAAATGAGTTGTTTGTTAACTTTTTTTTTCTCAGACTGCATCACAATTTACATTTTACAACCATCTTTTGAACCAATATTTTAGTTAATGGGTCTGTTTTATTTTACTACATGTTGATATGAGTGTTTCGGAATACGTCCGATAACATAATGTATTACCTTATTCATATATGTATCAATTAATAAACATTGTTCCGAAACCCCTTGTCATAAATATGTCATTGTAAAGTCCTACTGAACGTAGCTAGTCTAATTTGTAAGCAATTAGTTACTGCGTTTTTGTATACAAATTTATACAGATATAAATAAAAGGAGAATAAATAATAAATAAACTAGCAAATTAGAAACACAATGTATCTTCTTTCAATATTTCTTATTAGAATTTTGTTATTCTTTAATAAATATTAGAAAATAAAGTATTTTATTACTTCTCACATAAAGATTTGTTTATTAAAAGAAAAGAAAATAAGTGCTTTTGCAATCGCCAAACGAATGGTCGAAATGCCAAAGAATAAAGTTATAAAAAAGAAACTTACAGTTTTATCCAAATATATTTGCTCTAAGTTTATAATAAATATTTGTTGGTTGGCAATATAATGAATCCGAATGGATGATCAATTCTTTTATACCGGATTCACGGGAATTAGTCAACAGACATAAAAGTCCCCAATTTAATCTATTAATCAATCGAACAATGTTATCAATTTAAATATTGAGTTGTAAGTCAAAGGGGATTTAAAGTATGTTTTTTTATTGTTTTTTTTTTAAACCAAACCAAACATATCGAGTGGTGTTGAGATTAAAGGGACTCCACTGAGATTTTTTTGACATGACGGGACTGGAAATAAGTTTTCGAGATTAAATGTTCCATTTGATGTGGGTCTAGACAAATAATTTGTGTGCAAAATTTCAGATCATTGGATTACTCAATTTTTTCCGAATAAACATGCTTATGGTTAAAAATGACCAAAATTTGAAAAGCCGTTCAATTCGGGCGAAGAATAGCACAAAAATGCGACGTTCAATTTATTTCTGACCGTAACTCTAATTTATCGTTTGCATCTTCCTATTTAAAGTGCCTCATTATTTATGTTTATTAGCTTATTTATGCAAGAAATTCAGTTTGTGTTGGGGAGGGGGGACCTAAGTGGAGTTCCTTTAAATAAAAGTATTTTATGAGAAAGTACATTGCATTGGACATTTAACTGATTAGCTGTTTACTTATATTTTCCTTAGTGGCATGCCTTAGTTGCATGCATTTTTTTAGATAAGATTGAGAAAAAACAACACTGTAACGATTATGTCACATTATACCACAAAAGCAAATGTTTGTATTATGAGGGAAGGATTTGCGCATATTTGAAAACAAGGAAAACATGTTTATTCTTTGATTGTAGTTCAGTTTTTTATTAAATTGTCATATAACAAATTGGCTGCGTGCATGATGTTATCTTGGTTTAGAGAAGTAATGACACGAACAAAATAATACGAGTAACTGTTCTAGGTTTTCAAATACAAATAACAAATCATTAAGATCAATACATATAAATAGCCCTTGGTGAAACAATTTCATTCATTTTTTTCTACTCTTAGCTATGTTTAAGATCTTGAGAGATCAACAAGATCCCTGAAGAAATCAACGATTTAATAAGAGAGGTCACTGGAAAGGTCAATGACATAACTAGAGAGGTCACTGGAAAGGTCAATGGTATAACTAGAGGGGTCAGTTTAGATGTTAATTGTATGTAAGGAAAATCGATGGTATAAATGGACAGCGTGCATTAGTATAAAACTTGAGAACTCACTGGAGAGGTCGATGGTATAACAGGAGAGATCAACGGTATATCTGGAGAGGTCAATGGTTTGGTTTAAACATATTTATTTGAGCTCGATTGCGAAACAAGTTCTTGCAACTTATATTAATCACTTTCGAGTCCGCTTCCTGGAACCAATCAGTACTGGTGTCATGTGAAGAAACATGGTCGTGACCCGAGTTGGGCTCGAACCCATGATCTCTGGGTAAAGAGGCAGACACCTTAACCACTAGGCCACCTATCCCCTAATAGGTACAATGGTTTAACAGGCTATGGCAAATTTATAACTAAAAGGTCAGTGATATAACATTGGGTAAGATAGAAGATAGGGAAATCCTAACCCGATGGTGATCGGTTCCATTGATTTTCCCAATCCTATATCTAACCCAATGATTGATTTTATTTTCACTTACCAAAAACATTATAAAAAAACTTAGTAAAAACATCAGTTCAACTACTTCTACAATGTTGGTGAAGTGGGACGGGATTTACGCTGTTGTCATTCCATTCTTGAATAAATGCATTTTACATTTGGAAAGATTTTTTACTTGTCAAATTAATTGTCAATATAACTGAAGAGATACTTGAAACAACTGGACAGATATATGATATAACTTGCTTTGATATTTGTTTGGATGATACGTGTACAATGATTTAATGTTCTGATCTGTTTACTTCTAAAGCAGGCCTGCGTGGTTACTTTTTGATGTTTTTTTTCTTTCTTCAATTTTTATTTCTTTGATGTTTAACTTAAATTAAGCTTCCATTTGTTGGGGATCACTTACCGTAAATCAATGTCTGGAAGTTGGGCAACTTGCCCGAATATTCTTATCAGTACCTAAGGGAAAAATCTTAAATATATAATATTAACAAGTAACAGTAATGGACCCCCAAAAAAGAAAGGGGCGAAATAATTATAACTAAAGTCGAAAATCCATTTTCAGTTATGTAATACTTCAAAATTTAAAGAAAAGATCTAGATAAATTTCCCCTAATTTGAGCAAGTCTTTTAAAAAAAATATCTCAACTAATGTGGGGGTAAGGGGAACAAAGTCCAAAAAAGAAAATGGGCATATGTTTGCCAAAAGTCATGACAGAAAAATGTACTGGATGATATAGGTTTCATCAAGTATTCCGTGTTCAAGTATCGTAGGTAACAGTATCGTAAGGGGTTCAGTAAAAAATGTTGATGGAGTGCGACGCTGTGAAGACTAGCGTCTGGGTGGGTTAAATTGCTCTCCCTATAAACAGTCTTGCCAAGTCTCAAAATTAACCACCCACTTAGCTCAATAGCGTTTGTCTGTGAATCAGACGATCCGGGTTCGATTCCCAGACGGTGCATGTCACTTTCATTGTGTATGATCATTAAATCCCTTTTTACGGTCATACTGCTATCGAATGTACAGAAGTTATCAATTCCTTGCGAAAGTGAAGGCAACTCGTACTGGTAAACTGACTGCTTGACATCCTGCCCATGAACGATGCGGCGACTGAACTAAGGTCTGGTAAATTTAATGTGGCTTACTGCAGTGATTCGAAGTGAAAAATACCAACACCACCACCAAAATTGATCATCAGAAATGAATACATTTTATAACTTCCCCTTGATGTGGGTAAGTGACACAAAATTATAATGATAACAACTTAACCAAAGTTTTGATAGAAATCCTCTACACCCCTTATGTAAATAGTCTTTTATTATGATAAAGGTGCATACAGTTAGGGTAATCAATATTGATTAGCATTTGTATGTTTGCTTCGGTTTTGTATCAGTTTTAAACAGTATATCAATCATGACCGGCCAGTAAATGATTGAATTATGTTTCTGATTAATACAGGGATGTTGTCTAATGAATGAACATTGCTGATTTATTACGCATTATAGCAACAAAACATATTGATAGCTCAACTAAACAACTCATTTGCCTTTACTGCACAGTCAGGGACGTAGACTGGAATATGCAGCCAATTGAATATTTCTTTATTCTGTATAAAATGGTCTATTTGGAGTATATAAGTAATTAAAATAATGCAAATAAATTTCACAAAATTTGTTTTGCTTAAACAATTTATAGACGATACCCTTTATAGCTTGAAGTACCGAAGCGCATGCAAATAACAATGTAATTCTGCATCATAGACGGTTACGTGCGTGTGTGCATTGCGTTTTCTTCTTTTTGGCAAAGTCACAAATGTCATTACTTCAAAGAAATAGTTAAGGTTACACATCTATGATTGCGTAGCTTTCACGTCTGGCGTCCTCTTATTAACGTTCATGCGTCTTTCGGTTTCCCCCCGATTTTCTTTGAAAACAGTCTTAAGTTGCTAGTTTTTCTTATAAACATGCTTGTCTTCAGCAACAACTTGCATTATTCTTTATAACGGGTGCCTCGGGTCATATTTATCTCACTCCGTTTATTCCATCAGCAAC